AGATTAAAATTTTCTCATGGCTGTTTATAACTCCAGGCAGCTGATGCAACAGCCAGGAACTGCTGGGGTAAGGGGCTGCAGGATTCTGTGACTACTCCCACTTTATAGAAGGAGTTGTTGGAAGGAGAGGAGATGGACAGGAGCTGTAGAAGAAACCCTAGGCAGGGAACTTTGATATAGATCTCACAGCTGTTTTCTGCTGGGATAACGCAGCTGCTGTAAGGCGGATATAGAAAGAATCTCAGATGCACAACCAGATATTCTAAAATATATAGTCTGGAACATTTTTTTGCTTTCTGGGCTGATGAAAATAAATAGCATCACTTTAAAACTTTTAATATAAGCAAGTGGTCAAATTTGCAAGATGCTTGAAAACATGAGTTTGCATGGAATGATGCACTAGATTGCACTGTCAGACACACACACAAACCAGATGGATATGGTCTGGGTCTACAAACACGGTTTCAGTGGATGGGCCCCAATTCTTCAGTGGAGCTTCTTTGAACATTAAATTACAATACTGAACGCAAATACAAACAAGCACTTCAGTGATCTTGGTCTTGTTTATAAATGTCCCACAGCTGAGTACATCTATTATACAGTTGGGGAAAGAATTACAGTGCGATTTAGCAGGAGCTAAGCTAGCTTTAAGCAAGCTTACTCTGTTCTTGATGATCGACTTCAAGTAGCACTAAATTCAGTGCAGTTTATTTTCACAGTTCCAGAGTAAGTTCTTGGAGTGACATAAGCTACTGTCTGTTGTGAGAGACTGTTAAAATACATCACAGAATCACAGAATCTTCATGGCTGGAGATTCTTCATGGACCTTTGAGATCATTTAGTCCAACCACAAACAAACAACACACAACCACAAACAGACACAAACCAACAATCCCAGGCACTAGAGCATGCCCTGAAGAGCCATGTCTACACGTTTCTTAAATACCTCCAGGGATGGCGACTCCACCACCTCCCTGGGCAGGCTGTTCCAGTGCCTGACCACTCTCTCAGTAAAGTAATTCTTCCTAATATCTAATCTAAACCTCCCCTGCTGCAACTTCAGACCATTTCCTCTGGTCCGGTCATTATTCCCTTGGGAGAAGAGGCCAACCCCCACCTCTCTACACCCTCCTTTCAGGTAGTCGTAGAGGACAATGAGGTCTCCCCTCAGCCTCCTCTTCTCCTTCTTTTTCTCAACATGTGTTGACTCAGAAACATTTTCAGCCTTTTTCTATCTAAGGTCAATCAGTTCTATCTCCAGTGTCTAGGTACCTTTGAACACCAGCCAGCTGTTTTAGCTATGCCCAGCTTAGCAGACAGTAAGCCCAAAGACAAGCTTTACAGAGCAGAAGCTTACTGCTTTGAGAGCAACCAAGGTTTACATGTCTCTTATGTGGGTCACACCATTTTAATAATGTCAGAGGCGGTGTTACACACACTTGCTTTTTAGGACAGGAAGTATCAAAAAAATTAATACCCAGTTCAGGTGATAAGACAATAATCCCAGGAATGCTTCTGACCTCATGCTACTCTTACTAACAAATACTCCTTTAATAGTGATGAGTTAATGATATCAAGCCCTATGTGATCTGACACGCAGCATGTGAGATGACAGTGTGTAGACAGAAATACTCTACCTCTGTCAAGCTGGCTGGCTCCTGTTAGAGCACGGGTGTTACACCGTGCTGCTGAACGAGCTTTGGCAGCTATCATGCGAGCCTCTGAAGTGAATGAATCACGGCGGTAACGGCTGATTGAACAGGGATATATACAGCATGACTCCTTAGTTTCTTTCAGTGGTTCACACTTCAAATCAGTTGCAGGAAAGCTCAAGCTATACAACATTGAAAGCTGAGTTCAGTTTCTTGCAAAAAAAACCCCCACCCCAACCTCATCTCCTGTGAAAGCAACAAAACTGTAGATGGAAGAATCTGCATATTTCCAGGTAGAAATACATCTTGGTATTTTATTTTGATTCTGGAATAGCTAGCTGCAATATCTACTTAAGAAATAAATGGTATCAGATTGTCATAGATATTAAATGCAGGTATTATTCATGTTTTACTCTGCATTGCATTCCAGAAGAGCATTTCTAACCTATAACCAATAAAAAATGTAGATTCTATCTTCAGCACATTTAACTTGGTCTAGACTAGCTTTATCTAACAGGCTGCTTTCCAGTGTTTACTGCTGAAAGTGGGACTACAGCTAATTAACTTTGCTTTTACTTTTAACAAGCTTTTAGTGGAACTAAAATAAATAATTTATTGGAAGGAAAAACTAAATCTACAAAGCTGTTTTTGTTGAGCATTTCATTTTTTGCGTGTAGTTCAGAGTGAAGAACCATCCAACTACTATGTTTCATTAACTGGTTAAAAAAAACAAAAACAAATCGTGCCTTATTCTGCATAACTTTCATAATGTGAAAAAAAAGTTTGGCCTTATGACAGGTACTGGGAGAAAAATTTTGAAAGATTGTCTTATATTTAATTACCTACATGGACCCAATCTTTCTTTTTCTTCATTAGGATTTGTTGGATTAAAAAAGAGCTGTAGAGCTCACTAATGATAAAGGCAGAGCTGCATGTGCAATCCTGGAGTCTGATACTTGTGATGAAAGGAGATGAATAACAGAGTCTATGTCCCAGCAGTAGATAGAAACATAAAGGGTAGTTGCAGTAGAAGTTAAAAACAAACTATTTGAAAGACCTATTTCTGTTACTAGAATTCTATTGCTGTCTCTTAAATTTTTATTGCAAGTTCTAGGATTGCTGGTGTAACAAAAGGCATGGAATAAAAAGCAATTCCTAAGCAATCGCAGTACCTGTACATGGTGGGTGAGAAAAAGAAGAAAATTTATCCTCAAACTTCAGAAAACAGAAGCTGAACTCAAAAAAAGTTTGTCTATTTTGACAATTGCCTGTTTTATTTTTAAATCTAGAATTTTTGGGTCATGATTTTGCAACATCAGGCAATAAAATCCATTAGCATTACTAATATTTTTAACTCAATTTTCTGACAGTTTAAGACATAATTTATTGTGACATCTGTTTTAAATTTGTGCCACCTCCTTTTTCAGTAGTGGAACAAGAGTGAACAGTTTAATTTATCAATTTCCATGCACCTGTGCTCTGTTGATATTTTTAGACTCAAAAACTGGCAGTCAGGGAGTCTTTGAAAGAAAAACACATTTCTTAAGACATAAATCATTAAAAGATTTTTTTGCATATCAATTTATGTAACACCTCTGCAACTTCTTTAAATCTTGTCTTTGCTAAATGTTATCTCTTTATAGGCTCTGACAGTCTTAAGACATCTGCTTTTTCCTGTACTATCAGCCCCACAGGTTGCTGCATCTCTTTTCCTTTCCTTCCAAGTTCTCTGTAGGCCATTCATAAACCCCTCCTCTTACAATTTTCTTCTTGAGACCAGGAGCTATGTTGCTCACTATGACCTAGTGCAGACAAAGAACTGCCATGGCATCAAACTTAGAGCCTTGCTTTGCTTGGCCAGTTATCTGTACTTTTAGCACGTTCTCTATGGTATACCACAAGAATGTGATGCAACCCAATCTACTGGGTTGCCCTAAAGGGAAAGGGGAAGAGGCATGAAGGGAAGTTTGTCCTGGACCTCCTTGTTTGCGAGGCTGCAACGAACCCCAATTTGCTTCAGTAAATCATCTTAATGTTTACAGAAAGTAGTGGCAGTGGGCAGTCCCAATTTCCACCTTTGCCAAGGGCCCCCAGGATGTCTGCGCATCCACACCATCGTGCCATCACATCTGTGGCAGAAGGCAGCATCAGATACTTTCTTTCCTAGCTAATAAAAACTCTGGGCTTCTAACATACCACTACACTGATTGTTTTGATTGAAGAAGCAAAGAAGCTTAAAAATTTTGCTGTGATTACTAAACATAAAGACTTCTCCACCCTGCAAATATCTGAAGAGATGCTGTCAGATAACGATCCATAACATAGTCTGAAAAAAATGCTAAAAGCCATTGCTATGCAATTATTTCATCAATGACATTGAGCCTTTGTTATCTGCAATCATACGTCAAGAAATGCATACTGTGAAATAGGCAGCTTTGCTTTAGCTTTAGAGAATTTGTGGTTTTATGGAGACGACAATTAATTTATTAGGTTAGCACTTCAGAATTTCTAATGTTGACTTTCTTCATCTATAGCTTCTATGTTTAGTTCACAATAACAAATGAGTAGGGATGTATTGTTTGTATCTGCCCTTAGAACTGCTTTTTGGTTTTGGGCTCAAGTATTTGACCAAAAATTATTAATGTGCTAAGTGTTGCTTTTTTTCCATTATGTGAGGTGATCTTAAGTAATAATTCTGCACGTACATACTGAATGTCTTGATGTTTAAATGTCACGACCATCTGGGTTATGATGATACAGGTATTTTTCTTCAGCTAAAAAAACAGGGAACTGGCTTCCTGGATAATGTTATCCTGGACCCACATTTTAATGCACTTATTTATTACGATGACAAATGTATAGTAGAAACATCTTCTGCACTTCAGCTTTTAAAAATTTTCTCTTATTTCAAATGGACTGTTAAAATCAATTTGTAGAAACTTCTTTTCTTAAACTTGGACAGGTACATGGACAACTTTATATCATGAACAGTGACTTTAAAATTGAACTTTAGTATTAGGCTAGAAACCCGTGTAAATTTCCTGTACAGTGCATAAAGCAGGATCTCGCATTGATTCCAGCCCAAGCTCCAATGTCACTCTTCAGAACAAACACTCGGTGTCTGTGTGTGCTCCTGATGCCGGGGTTTGCTCCTCTGCTTCCAGCCCGATGGATGAGGCTCTCTCTCACCAACCGTAACCATTCAATAACTCACGGCACTTTTCTGCCTTTGAAGGGCGTAAACCCTGGCGCTCCAGCCAAGCTTACAGTTCAGGAAATTACATTTTTCCTCTCTGCATTTCCAAATGGATAACGTGGCTCCAGCTCCCTGTCCAAGGCCGATAACCAGCGCCGCTGGAGGCTTTACCAAGCCTGGGTTTATGAAACGAGACAAGTCGCTCCCCGCGCCGCAGAACAAAGAATGCCTGCTCGCTTATCTCTTTATTTAATTATTGCCTGCAGCGCTACGAGCACCCCTGCTCATTCTTACACCTCCCCCCTCCCCGAGGGGACCTCCAAAGGGGCTCTTCATGCTTTCGGTCTCCCCGGAGAAGGCCGTGGTAGCCTCAGCAGGCGCCGGCCCCCAGGGTGACCTGCCGAGGCCACCACCTTCCTTCCCCTCAGTGACCACGTTCTACCCCTGGCTGCCCAAGTCGTGCCAACTCGGCAGCTTCTGAGACCCCCCTGGAGCGGCCGGTAACGGCGCCCAGTCCTGTGGCGGCTGGGGAGGGAGCCCGGCGCCGGTCCGGCAGCTCCCGCCGCGCCTCCACCGCCGCCCGGCGCCGGGACACACGCCGCCCCTCCCGGCTGCAGGACGGAGGGGAAACCGCCTCCCCCGCTGAGGGAACAGCCGCAGCCCCGCAGCCCCGTCCCCGCCGCCGGCCTGAGGGGCGGGGGGAGCCCACGCCCCGCTGCCGCTCCCCGCCCGGCCGCGCCGGAGCGAGCGCCTGTGGCTCGGCCGGTCCCTCCTCGCCCGCCGTAGCGATGCTCCCGGCTTCGCTGCCCTGCGAGGCTGTTTCCAAGATGGCGGCCGCGCGGGCGGCTCTGCGCGGCCGGGTCCCTGCAGCTGGGTAGAGACACCCCCTTCCTCCTGCTCCCCTCCTCCTCCTCGCTGCACCCCCGGCGCCGCAGCGGGCCAAGCCGGGCCGCGCACTGGGATCCGCCGCTATGGCGGCCTCGGTGCATGCATGAGAGACGTCGCCGTGCTGGTCTCTGCCGCCGCCATGGAGGAGCCGCCGCCGCCGGGGAGGTCAGTAGCCGGGCGCTGCCAAATAGGGAGCTCCGTGCAGACCGAGAGCGCCGCGGGCCGCCGGCTGGCGGGGCGGGCCGGGCCGGGCCGGGGGGTGTGAGTGCCCGCCGCCCCTTTGGCAGGGCTCTGGCGCTGCCCGCTCGCAGGGCACGGCCTCGGGAGCGCTGCCTCGCTGGGGGTGCGACTTTAACCTTCCCACACCCCCCACACCTCCAACCCCCCCTTTCCGTCCCTCTCCCCCCCGCCCCGCTCCCTTTGGGCTGCAAAAGCTCCGTCTGCTGCTTCGGCGCTGCTGGAAAGCGCCCACCGAGCGGGAAGGTGCCGCGATAAGGAATCTCTAGTGGCTGCGGTGGGTAAGGCAGTGTTTTGTGGGCACTTTGCAATTAAAAACAAATCGTTTCCTTCCCCCCTTCCTCCCCCGCCTCCCCCTTAGTTGAGCAGCAGGAGCAGGCGGGTGCTGCTGGGGCGCTGCCACGGCCACCTCCCGGGGACAGCTTTTACCGGGGATGGAGGGGAGGGGAGGGGGGGCGGCTGCTGCTGGAGCCCTCCGGCAGGCGGGCAGCGTCACCCCCGCTCCGGGGCTCCTGTGATCCGCAGCGATAAAGCCCCCGCCGCCCGCTGCAAGGGTCCCTGCTCTTCCCCGGGCCCTTGGGTGCTCTCCGGAGCAGCGATAGAGCAGCCGGGTCTGGGGAGTATCGCTCCTGGCCATGTTGCAATCGGTATTTGTCAGAAGATGCAGAGGTTTTTGTTTTTTTTAAAAACATAAATAAATAAATAAGTTGCACGAAGTGGGCTCGCCTTGTGGTGCCTGGAGCTTTTTGCAACTGCTGTTGCCTCCTGAATGTGCTGACCTGCAGATTGGCTTTTTGCAAGTCTCCATCTGTGCCCTGCTGAGAGATGGGGATGCAAATTACTTCATGGTTTAGTGTTTCCAACTGGCTGTGTACGTGTTGCATAAGTCCAAGTTATTAATTCCCTGGCAATTATTTCTCGTTTTAAAATAACATCCTGTTGATGCGCTTCACTTCTCACTAGGAGGCATTCAGGAAACGTTTTTTAAAACACTTGTGTGATCAATTAGTACCGAAAGGCAATAGTCAGGCATGTTGTATTCCAGGTGTGCAGTGCAAAAAAGCTTCGTGCTGTCACGTTCCTCAGCTCGTTCTTGCATATTGCAAGGTACTCTTTGTACCGATACACTAAAAGGGAAGTGGTGATGCACTCTGCTTTGGATGGAGGCTGTGGAGTTGAACAATGTCTGGTTTGAGTTTTCATTAATGTACTTTAATGGTTTGTTTTTCTTATGTCGTGAGAATGTCAAAACCAGAAGGTATATAACAGTTAATTAGATTTAACAGAAATATTACGAAATACAAATGCCACCAGGGCAGCTGAACTCGTAAGCTTCCAAGCTCCTTTTTACAGTATCTTCAAAGAGTAATAGTGCAGGTCGAGCAGAAAATGATTTAAAATTAAGTTTGTACAACGGCATGACCCTAGACCTGGGCTGTCTTCATGTAGAAGAGTGATCTGCAGCGCCTGAATGGAAAACACCCAGGCATTTCCTGTCTCGGGCCATTTCTGACCTCTGCTGGATTCTGCTTATTAAAAGACAGTTTATATGAGTCGGATGTGGGTGTGGATAGTGCGGTGGCAACTTTACCCAGTAAATGAAAATTGAATTAGTTATTTCAGAGTGAGCTGGTGGGTGGTAAGGAGATGTCTCAAAACAATTAATTGTGTGGGGTAATGCATGTACTGCACCGTGATTCACTTCAGTGTACTTCGTGTATCAACTTCGCATCTGCTCTAGAACAGAACTGCTTGTCTGGCTTTACGTAGTACTTGCTTTTTCTTAAAAGTAATGCAAAAGTAAGGCGTCTGAAGCTTTTTCAACATGATTAAAGTTGATTTAAATTTTGGAGTTATTAGGGGTTCAGTCTTGAGCTGTGAGGTCAGAATCTTGTTAAAATCAGTGGGACTGTGTGCAGGCATGAGAATTTTAAATCCATTTGGTGGCATATAGCTTTTAATCCTGTTTATAGAGTGTGAGTGTGCTCTTGTGATAAAGAGTTCTTCTGGCTAGCCCTGAAGTGCATTGGTATAATGCATTCTTTTTACAAAAGAGACCTGTAGGTGTGCATTTGTTTAAAAAAAGAGGCTTATTGATTTATTTTGAGACTGCCTTGTGTGTTGGAAATCTCTTTCTTTGTGCAAGAATTCTGTGTCTTGTCAGAATCTAAATGCAACAGTACATTTTGTAAATCTAAAGCAAGCATACGATATGTTCATGTCTTTTTTTTAATTATACAGTCCTCCATCCAAAGCATTTGATCGAGAATCTGTCTCCAAAAGCAAACTGGTTTTCCCAGGTCTTCCTTTCTTTCTTGAAACATATACTTTGGGGTGGGGAAAGAGGGGAGGAAACTCTAAACTTAAAAATACTTTGGGGAACTATGAGCAGATGTTGATTTTGAGATAGGATTGCACTTGGACGTTGGACAGCCTGCTGTGGTTATGGATAAATGAAAAGATACTACTAAAATGTTTTGGGAAGAATTCACATTCAAGTATCAATCCTTGCAACAAAGCAAACAGAAAGTTTTCAAGTTAAAATGTTTCCACTTCGATAATTTAGAACGCTAATTTAAAAAGGTACATTTGGTTCTTCTTGATTATGGCCTATAGGCTTTAAATTTTCCGAGACCAATTTTAGGCTTTCCCAAGAGTTTTCTGGCACAAAATCCACTATAGAGAAAAATGAGGCCTTAAGCATTTCCTTTGTTGGGATGCCAATTCTGGTGGCACTGCAAAAGCATGAAGAGCCGTAGGGCTACTCTGACTTGTGCCTTGATTGCTCGTAGCCCTCTTTCTCCTGGCGTGCATCCAGTGCAAGGGGTGAAGGAAGGAGCAAGGCTGTTGAAGAAAGCAGGACAGAATTGTGAATAAGGTGGAGGCTTCCTCTGTGCTGAGGAATTTTGCAGTGGTTGGTCTATCAGATTTGTTGGCTCTGTGATGACAATGGATTGGGCTGTCAGTCTGCAGCATCTGTTGTTTGGGGGAAGCCTGAGGTCGTGTCATGAATTGTTCTCAACCTATTTTTCTGTTTGCCAAACTAGCTGTATGACTGATAGTGAAAGAGTTTAAAATGATTTTATTAACTTAGGATTTTTTTTTTTTTTCTCATGCATTTAAATGAGGTAAGATGTAATCTCTATTCTTCATGTATTGCATTTTCTTGTTTACATGTGCAAGGTTGGGATGAATGACTGATTGCTCCACCTACGCGCAAACACACACGAAGTGCTAGTTGAGATGTCTTTGGCATTTGTAGCAGCAAGGATTAGTCTGCCTTGTGTGGCTGCTTGAGTTGTTTTTATGTCTGTTAATTAGTGCTGTCTGTGTCAAGGTTGGTTTTACTATTATGTAAGCTAGTGATATTGGCCCTTGTGGAATGCAAGCTGTGCTGTGATGAAAACCAGATCTACTGAATTTAAAGGAAAGGATAAGGGATATGCAGTAATTTTTATTTTAGGGAGCGAATTGAGGATTTTAAAGGCTTAGAAAGATTTGGCTTCCATAACAACCACATTTCTTAAATTGCATACAAACCATTCTTTTAAACTGCGTCTAAAATAGATTTAGAAGACAATTTTTTATACTACCCACTGCTAGTCAAGTAGAATGTTGACCTCTGTCAGCGCAGGAAGATACGGGTATCTCAGCTCATATTTCTTCAGCTGTGTGGTTGGATTTGCTGCTGTATATGCCATTTATGTTTGCAGGGCTATTATGTTCCTTAAGTGCTTTTCTGCTCTCAAGTGTTATGTTTAGGCTGTAATTTATTAATTTCTGAATTTTTAAAAATATCTTAGAAGCTCATTTGTTTAAAGAGCTGATGATTGTCCCGTGCTCATCATTGGCCAACTGCAAACATAAAGCCAAACTGGAATGTTTACTCTTAACACCTGAGTTTGAGCATTACTGAGTTGCTGGATGTTCACTCTGTCCAGTCCAAGAACCCTGCATGTGAAATCCCATCAGCTCGCCCTGAACCTTGATCAGGTTTATTCTGGATCCAGACAAAACGGGATGTAACTTTATTGCCCTGATGAATGTCTCCTGTTATTACGGGGTAGGAGGAGGACGTTTATTCTTTTCTTTCTGTGTCCTGCTAATATTTAATGGTATACACGGTTGTGTGTTGCTTTCTAATGTGGTATACATACATGATTTATCCTGCCATTGGCTTACATGTGCTGCTGGTTTACTTGCTGATGGCTTCCCTGGGAGCACCATTTGTGAAGGTTTTTAACATTTTAGCTATGAAGCATCTGTCCACTAAGTGGTAACAAGGCCACAGTTACATATGGCTCTGCTACTTCTGGGCTGCACTGTAGAACTCTTCTTGGACATGTCCACTTTGGGATGCTCCACATAGCACAGAGTACTTCAGGTCCATTGCATTGCCTGGGTTTTCCAAAGATCACGGACTTGTAGTCCAGCATCCAGTGCTTGGGACTGGCCTTCCCTAAAAACATGTTTAAATTTTAATGCTTCACCTTCAGGCTTCTTGTAGACTTTGGCTTCATCTAAAAGATGAACTGAAATTTTGGGATCAAAACCAGTTGGAAGCGTTTTCTTATCTAGGAATGGAAGTTTCTGCCAGAAGAGTAAAGTTTGTGCACAGGAGTGGGGGGGAAAGAATGGCTGTTACAGATCTTCTTGTCTTTTATCCTAGGTCTGTGTCTGACCCAATGTATCACCTTTATATATGATATATTTATAGTCGAGCCTAGCAGACTGATGCTTGGAGTAGAATATACATGCATATTCTGTAAGTGCTGTTATGTAATAATCCAAACTTGCATGAAAATTTATAATAATCCAGGATGGGAAAATTAGTTAACTTTTCTCTGTTTCCAAATTTACTAGTAAAAAAGAACAGGAAGTTCTGATTATTATTTTTTCTGAGATGAGAATGTGAACAACTGCCAATC